CCCCCAGCCTCCCAGCCCCCGCCAGGCCAGCGGCTGGGCTGGGCTGGCCTGGCAGCTGGTAGTGGCTCATGGCGAGAGTAAAGTTGACGATGGCGGCTAGGCCCTGCCTACCAGGGCTTTGGGGGTTATTTTAAAACACTTGAAATTGTTTTGGGTTATGCATGATTTCAGGTTTCGTGCACGTGTGTGAGAAATGGAGATGCACCTGTTGAAAGAAGTGAATATTTTCACAGCCATTAAAACATAGGTAATGACTTCCTTTATAATACAGCGTACAAAATAAATTTTTAATTGTTTTTTGTAAAATTGCTTCAAAATTATATATATTTTGTGAACGTATTTCAATGTTATTAACAATACATAAAATATTTTTGTACGGTTTTTGGCGCCGAGATTAAATTTAAGTTTCTTCCCCAAAAAATTAAGCGATTTATTAATAAAACTTTGATGTTTACCTGTAATAATGTGTGTACCTATGAAGAACATGTGATGTAAAAATGTAAAGTTCAACTGTATGATATGTATATTTTAGTCACCAACGACTTTAGCAGTATAAAAGTGACCTTAGCATTTTTTAAATCATGAAGTGTTCATAAATGTAAACTTAGTTGATTATTGTTTATTGTTTATATTCACACTATGTTTATAATTTTTACCTAGTTTATTTCTTTACTTATTACCAGGGCTTCATTTCTAGTGAATCGCGGCGGAATGGCGTTCCGGTATCTCGGGAATGATTATTAAATTATATTATAAATATATAACTATTTCTATTAAATTAATAATTAATTTGGGGGTGCTTTTCAGAATATAAAATTTTGTAAATCAAGCACTACTTATTACTTTATTATTTCTCTTCGATCTTGTTGTATGTAACGTTTTTATAAATTAAAATAAAGTTACTTATTATGAAATTAAAGTGTACAATTTTTTTGTTTTTAAGTGTTTTTTTTGTGATTTATATACAGTCAGTCCGTTTTGAATGTTTTCTGAAGCCACCTTTCGCTGACGCCGACGCCGCGCAGAGGGTGACGGGGTGGCGGGGGCGGTGGGGCCGACGGCATTCCCGAAGGGGCGAGCGGAGCCCCCACGCTCTATTGATCTCTGACGTCAGCCACGTGCACGTGGCCTGAGCAGGCGGTTTAAATCTGGCGGCCGGATATATGCACTCTGAGCCTACGACGCGAAGACCTCTCTACGTCACGTTTCTGTTATGACGATGACGTTCTTTGCCAAGTGAATGTACACGAGTGCGTTTGCAGACGTGAGGTAGCGTGGCCGAGCGGTCTAAGGCGCTGGTTTTAGGCACCAGTCCGAAAGGGCGTGGGTTCGAATCCCACCGCTGCCAAAGAATTTTGTTTGGTGTCGATGATGTGAGGAAGAAGGGCTGTGCCTTGTATGACTTACTGTTCTCTCTTCAGGACGTGGACATCAAGGGTTGCTGGTGTACTAAGCAATTCTAAAGATAAATCTTCATCCGTTCACAAGTTTACAGCCCGGACTATGAGGGATCGTTGGCGTTTCCATCATATCATATAGTGATCTTCTGAATCTCAAGGTGGGATTGTCAAGTATCATTGTCATGAAATATTACAGTAATAGCTGTCTAGTACCATTGAGAACAAGATAAGCTAAAACTAAGCACGGAGTTGCCAGAGGTTTCTTACGAGACGTTCCCACATGTTTGTATATCTCAGACAACATTATTCAATTTTCAAACCTCTTAAACGTTTTTCTTATTTCCTTTCCAAAGTGACTTCAGTAAATTATATGTTAATAGCCACGAAGAAATGTTCCTTTAATTCAGGGTATGAGAGTTTCTCACACAAATGTATCGAACCTGAAGGGAATTTAGCTACAATATTGTTTAATTTTTTGGTTTGGCAAATACAGTATTAATATCAATAATAATAATAAATAAAAATATATTATATTATTTTAATATTAAAAAATATTGAAAATGAAGGTGGGCAGATACAGTCAAACGTGTATCAAAAAAGACCAATAATATCGGTTCCGGAATAATATTTGTCTTGCTAATGATACAATATTACATTTTAAAATTTCCTGCGTTGTGATAGTTAAGGCAGGGAATTTACTAATATTGTGCCTTTAAAAATATGACCATTATTGCATTATATTGTAGGTTACCCTTGTACTGTTTTCTTAGTTGTTTACCTACGACAATATGTTTAATATTTGTGACGGAGAATTGAAATTTATATATATAATATTGCTCATAGTATCATACAACACCGTCATTTATGTTTAATAAATAAGGAAGTGTTCTTGGATAACTTGTTTCTTTTTTCTCTTTTGCAACGAGGAAAGGGGGACGGGAAAGAATGGGAGGGGAGGGAAAGGGAAGGGTAAAGAATGAGCGTGGGAGAGGGAAGAAGAAATTAGGTGGGGAGAGGAGGAGATAGGGAACGATGGAATGCGAAGGAAAGGGGAAGAGGTGGGCGAGAGGGAAAACGAATGGGCGAGAGAGCTGGAGAAGGAAATAATGGAGGAAAAGTAATAATGGACGCGGAGGACAAGAGAAAGGATAGGTGGGGAAGCATGAGCGATGACGGGGAGGACAAGAGGAAGGATGGGTGGGGAAGGATGAGGAGAAAGAATGCAAAGCGAGAAGTGTCGAAGGTGCAGAGGAGGGAGGGTAAAGGAAAACGTGGGTGGAGTGGGAGAGAGGCTGAGCGGCGCGATGAGACGCGGCCAAGTGGGAGTGGAGCGGGGGTGGGGCGCGTGCGTGGGCGTGGCGTGGGCGGCGTGACGTGGCCGAGCGGCGCGGCGCGCAGAGTTGGGTGCGTAGCTACCAGATGTCCTCGCGGGGTGCGGCGCTGCGCTGCGCTGGGCGGCGCGGGCGGCGCAGGCGGCGCGGGCGGTTGGATGGGCGAGGCAGCCTCCGCGCGTGGCGCGCACAGCGGGCGGTCGTAGTCGGGGGATGCGCTGGCGCCACGGTTTGAAACGCGCAAAGGCGACGCGGTACACAAAATATGACTTACGTGTGCATAACTCTTATATGACATTTTTTCTCAAAACGGTCAACAAAATATAGAAGTTTCGGAAACAATGTAAATACATTTTCGGATTCAGCATAAGAATAAAGCCAAGAAAAAACTTCTTCTTAGATTTCTTGGAACGTTATTTTTTATCTAAAAATAATTTAATTTTTTAAAACGATTTTAATAAATTTTCCGGTATTTTTGCATTAAAAATTTTAAGCTACGGCCATATTCATGAATTTTCGTTTAATATTATTTAACACTATCAAGTGATGGCTAGCAACAGAAAGATTGCACAACTAAAAGCCTTCAAGGTCCTAAATGGGTAAAAATCTTTAAAAATCGATTATTAAAATACTTGATCGCCTTTTTTCGAATTTCAAAAACCAAAATACTCCTAGATACTTGTGTTTTATGCCTACACATTTCATCGTTGGTTATTGAAAGGAGTAGAATTACGAGAATTTTTATTACAACATTTGTGAAAAGTTGTTTTTTACTGATAAAATTATTTTTCATTGGGAAAACGATAGGAACATCACAATTTTATAACATTCGTCTTCTACCTGAATTTTACTTGAAGGAATAATCTGTACCTTCAATTTTGTATTAATGGGAATAAGCCGGACAATTTTCAACGTTTGACATTTTTGGAACTTGTAGTAGTTTTTTAATTCTTAGGCCGAAATACAAAAAAATGGAGTATATTCGAAATGGAAATACTGCTTTGTGATGAAATCTACAAATGGGAATAATTTTGAATAAATTGAGTAAAGTAAAAAAAAATGCTTTCGAGCTGAGACATGGCACCCGTGCCTTGGATTAGCGGATGTTCCACTGTCAATTCGCACCGCTTATTTTACATGGAGATATTCTAGAAATCTTTGCGGCGGTGTGATGCTTTCCGACACCAAAGAATTCAATTGAATACATCACCGCTCTGTCGGTGACCTCCCACAGGGGCGGATCCAGCCCATGATCTTTTTGGGGGTGGTGGGATTGTAAATTCTGTTAAACAATAAACTTTTTTGTTATTATATTGTATATTATTTATGTACTATAGATTTGATACTATGCAATATTATTGTTTAAATAATTACATTATTCGAAAATAAATAAATGTTCAAATCAATTTTGTCATATAAAGGAAGGTAAACGAAAAGTCTAGGTCTTTTTGACAGGGCATGGCTCTGTTGCCTCCCCCGCTGGATCCATCAGTGACCTTCCAAACTACCATGTGGTCCACCCAAATCCAGAAAAGACCAGTCAGACGTGTCCTGGTTCGCCTCCGCGGGTGGCGAACTCACTTTCGACCGTTCACGCACACACACGCCAGTCACGGCGAGCGCGTGCAAAACGCGCGTCACTTTGCAA